TCGTGATTCAAGCTGGTATAGTACATCATGGTATTTCAGGTAGTGAGATGTACATGGACCATTCTCAGGAATATATTGTACGACAGTATAACGAAACGGTCAACTTTTCCCGCACGAAAACACGTCAGGTACCCTTGCGAGGGGAGTGTACCGGCTTTGGTGACAATAATCCCTCTCTGCAACGGAGGTTGTCACTATTGTAAAGTCAGGTATAAATAGTGTTGTTCGTTTGTTTCATATAACATGTTCAGGGGAAAATGTTGCCTGAAGGCTATCAAAGAACCGTATTTCCTTCGAGAAATCTACCGCAGGTGTATGTGTCGCGCCTCCAAATTCCATGAGTCCTATATACAGCTCTGAATTACTGTTTCATTTCGCAATAGCTTATTTCTCTGGGGTTGAATAAAGATATAATTAATTTGTGGTTGTGAAGTCATTCGGTGTGAAACAGACAAAAATTTCGATTTCAAGAGGGCCGTTCGCAACATTTCATGATAGCGTTTAGTCTTCCGTCCGACCTCAAGTGTATTTATACTGCACACTCTGCAATTTTTCAATTCCCTTGCAGATATTTGTACTGTGAAGACGAACCTCAAAATGGTGAAGACTGGTCTGTTTATCGATTTGATACGTCACATTGCTGCTCTTCTTGGTCTCCAAACATCTTCCTATGATGTAAATCGCGTGAGAGAAGGACTTCAAGAATGTCAGAAGGGAATAAAGCGACTAAATAATGCCTTGCGGTACTCAAAAAACTTGGGCGAGAAGCAGCATCTGGAGGCTTGCCTTAGAAATATGAAAACCTTCCGAAACCAGTTCAAAGCAATTCAGAAGAGGGGAGCTGGGTTATCTTCCAGAAAAGAAACTGCACGAGATAGAGTTCGTTGGAATGATTCAGAATCTGCGTTTCAGTCTCGCATCATAACTGGAGTTATCTCCAATTTGAAACATAAGGACCCTGAAGCATTCGTGGCTGATTGTAAAGCTCTTTCCCGGATACGTATTCAGAATGCACTTAAAAAAGATGAAGCAGTTAAAGTTAACGCTGTGTTCTGCGGAGAATTTGAGATCACTAAAGGAGATCTCATACAGACTGATTACAAATACTTCACTACTCCTAACTCACCCATCTATAGGAATACAGACATTAACAAGTGGTTCACTGAGAAAGTGATTGATCCTATTATGAAGGAGTTAGAGGAGTTCCAGGAGCGTGACAGCGGATGGGCATTGAAGAGCATCATCAATCTAGGTGTGAACATAAACAAGTTCACTCCCCAACTTGGATCCTCATACATTGAGTTACCCCCGCAAATCAAGCAAAAACAAGCTTGCATCAACGTTAAAAATGATGATAATGCATGTTTTTCTTGGGCAGTCATCTCAGCTTTGTATCCAGTCGAAGTACATAACGATAGAACTTCTTCCTATCCTCACCCATCTACCATTCTTAATCTGAAAGGTATTCAGTTCCCGATGACAGTCAATCAAATACCCCTGTTCGAGCGGCAGAATGGAATGTCAATCAATGTTTATATACTGAAGCAAAATAAAAAGGAGCTGATTACTCTACCGACCTACCTTACAAGAGATAAAAAAGAAAAGCACGTCAACCTGCTACTGATTCATGATCATTCCAATAAAGCAGGACATGAGAACACCGCTCCAAGTAGACACCATTACGTTTGGATTAAAGACATGTCTAGGCTCCTTTCAACTCAACTGAGCAAAGAAAATGGACGTAAATATTTTTGCGACCGCTGCTTGCACTACTTTAGGTCTCAAGCTAAACTAGATAATCACATTGAAATGTGTATAAAAATGAATGAAAGTGCTATCAAAATGCCTAAAGAGGGAACAAATATTTTAAAATTCAAAAACCACAAAAATAAAGAGAAAGTGGCTTTCATTGTTTACGCTGATCTCGAATCTGTTTTAGAGCGAACAGGAGACCCCCAGAAGCCCCAGCATCATATTCCTGCTTCTGTTGGATATTACCTCAAGTGTTCTTATGACAATTCTTTATCCTTTTATCGTTCCTATCGAGGAGAAGACTGCATGGATTGGTTCGCCTATGAGATGAAGCAGTTGGCAGAAGATATAACTACCGTATTCTGGTGTCCTTATGATATTCATATGACTTCAGAACAAGAAGCAGATTTTCGAAATGCCACACATTGTCACATTTGTGAGCAGAAATTTGGACTTGATGATGTGAGAGTAAGGGACCATAATCACCTAGTTCCAGAAAAAAATTATAGAGGAGCTGCTCACGATTCTTGTAATATAAATTATAAGGACAGTCCTGTGGTGCCTGTTGTATTCCATAATTTGAGTGGTTACGATGCAAATTTTGTGATAGCTGACATTGCCACTAAAATGAAAGGAACTATCGACTTACTGCCCATAACGAAGGAGAAGTACATTTCCTTCACTAAACATGTTGACGGAACTTGTGTTCAGTTCAGATTCATCGACAGCTTCCGTTTTATGAATTCCTCTCTGGACAAGTTAGCATCCTATTTAACAGAATTCCCCAATCTAAGGTCTCAATTCTGTAGCGTCGCCGAAGATCAACTTTATCTTCTAACTAAGAAAGGTGTGATGCCATATGATTACTTCGACTCGTTTGAGCGTTTCAGCGAAACCCGGCTACCTCCAATTGATGCTTTTCATAATAAATTAGACGATAAGGCCTGCCCTCGCAGACTCTATCTTCGTGCAAATCTTGTGTGGAATGAGTTCAATTGTCGAGACTTGGGTCAGTACGTGGATCTATACATGATGACTGATATTCTCCTTCTCGCAGACGTATTTGAACAGTTTCGTACCAGCTGCCTCAGAACTTACAATCTTGACCCCGCACACTATTACACCCTGCCAGGATTCACTTGGGATGCCATGTTGAAATATACGAATCAGGGGTTGGAACTTATCACTGACCCTGACATGTTTTTGTTTGTTGAGCAAGGCATCCGAGGAGGTCTCAGTCAAGTTTGTTCAAAAAGAAGAGCTCATGCAAACAATAAATATATTCCTGATTATGATCCTTCGAAAGCCGATTCCTTCTTGATGTACTATGACGTCAATAACCAATACGGATGGGCTATGTCTCAAGCTTTACCATATGGAGGTTTTGAATGGACTGACACCAATATCGACGTCACGGCTATTCCCGATGATGCAGAAGAAGGATATATTTTAGAAGTCGATTTGTATTATCCACAACACCTCCACGATGTACATAAAGATATTCCATTTTGTCCTCAACACATCAATCCTAAGACTGGAAAGCCTCCCAAATCTGTACGAGAACACACCAAATTGATGGCGACCCTACGCTACAAGGAGAAGTATGTCATTCACTACCGAGCCCTGAAACAGGCGTTGAAACATGGTTTAGTGCTGAAACAGATACATCGAGTTCTCAAGTTCCAGCAAGCTACGTGGTTAAGATCATACATAGACCTAAACACTGAACTCCGAAAACAAGCAAAAAATGTGTTTGAGAAGAATTTGTTCAAGCTCATGAACAACGCTGTTTTTGGTAAGACAATGGAAAACATTAGGAAGAGAGTTAATGTCAGACTTTTGACAGAGTGGGTGGGAAGATATGGTGCTGAGGCGTACATTTCAAAACCCGAGTTCAAGAATTGTATAGTCTTCAATGAAAATTTGATTGCTATAGAAATGAAAAAACTGGAAATCTATCTTAACAAACCCATTTATGTTGGTCAAGCTATTTTAGATTTAGCTAAGACAACATTATATGACTTTCACTACGACTACATGACCAACACATTTCGTGATTGCTCAGTTCTCTATACTGATACTGACAGCTTGATTTATGAGATTGTTGGTCAAGATCCATATGAGGTTATGAAGAAGGACTGTCATCAGCGCTTCGATACCTCCGACTATAAATCGAATAACATTTATAATATTCCTCAAGTCAATAAGAAAGTGCTGGGAATGTTGAAAGATGAGCAAAACGGAGTACCGATGATCGACTACGTTGGTCTGAGATCGAAACTCTACTCAACAAGAATTCTAACTACGATTGATGACATTATGAGTAAACGAGAAGAACTGATGCATGAAGGATATGATGATTTTGAAATTGATGATATTCTGAGGAATTTTGGTATAACGAAAAAGGCTAAGGGTGTGAAGTCGTCTGTTGTGAAGACATCAATAACCTTCACTGATTATGTTGAGTGTTTGGATAATTGGAAGGAAAAAACTGTCACTCAGAATTTGATCAAATCAGATAAACATCAAGTTTATTCTATCATACAAAAGAAGATTGCTCTCAGTCCGAATGATGATAAGAGATATATAATTCCTGGAACTGATGAAACGTTACCATGGGGACACTATTCAATCGATGATGATGTTGTGGAATATGGCTCATAAATTGATGGTGATATCTCTAGAATTATTTTGTTTATATATATATTTACACTAACGAATAATAAATATTATCATGTATCAGTACTCATTATTTTTCCAACCTGTCTTCCCTCCCTATGAATGTTCACCCGTTCTGTACTCCTACCAACATGGTCAACTGCGGTGACCTTGAAAAAAGAGCCATTTTTGCTATTTTTTCGACCTTAGATTTTCTTATGAAGATTGAGATGGGGAAACTGAATTGAGCCTCCATGCTCTGGCTGTATATGAAAAAAAGAGCCATTTTTGCTATTTTTGACCTTAAATTTTCTTATGGGAATTAACATGGGAAAACTGTCCAAATTGGTCCCGTGCTCTTGCTGTACATATACTACCGAAAAATCCGTACTTTCTTTACACCCCTGTATATGATGGAAAGACTCATCGTTTGAAGGTAATTATTTCTCAGATGTATTCGTGAAGAATGAAGCTACATTTCGTGAAGAAAAAAAATTGAATCGAGCGATCGGTTCGAAAGAAAATTGATGTCAAACTTAGTGTAAATTTTGCCTGTTCCCCTAATTGTGCCAGTGTGTGTATTATTGCAGGCATTCCAGCCGTTCCCGCCGACCATGGGCGAAAACCGACCCCCACGACCGCCCTCTCCTCCAGCTCCCTGGACTCCACCTCCACCGGCAGCTCCAGGCAGTTCTCCAAACATCCGAGCACGGCGACGCTATCGCCGGCCGGCCCGGCGGACGAGCCGGCGCCCCGTCCGCCGCTCCAAGAGCCCGACGTCATCGCCAGCACGAAGGCTGGCGCCGGATCGAAGGTCGGTGCCGGGTCGCCGCGGGGCGAGCCGAACGCCGGGCAGATGTGCCGGGATGCGCCGGTCGCGCCGCCCAGACGCAAGAAGAAGAGCCAGGTACCGACCGTTTTGCAACTTTCGGTGAGTAAGCAATCAATAACTTCAAGCGATAAATTAATATTACAATGCAGATATCAAAAATAAACTTATCAATGTACGTCATATGATTGCGTCAAAACAATTCATAATGAGAACTCACATTCTATAAGTTTTATATGGCGAATATTAACAAGTATTATCTGTCAATAATGACTCAACAATTTCAGTTTCTGACGCCGTGAGTGTACATGAAGAAGCATTTTATATATCTGTATTACTCAGTTGTCCTTTATCATCATGGAAACATCTGAAATATTGTAATTTTGTAAAATGAAGATGATATCATTCATTTTTCCCATATCGATTTTGAATTCCCATTTTATAACATGTGAAAATCTTGATGTTGAAATGAAATAAATGACACATTATTCGTTAAAATCTGAGTGGTGGATATACCAAAGGTGAATAAAAGGTTGAATAAAAATAAGCCAAAACTCACCTCCTTTTTGAAGGCCCAAGAGAATCATGGTTCCAAACATTGAAGCTTGAGTGTATATCAGTATCAATAGGTTGCCGTTCAGTTTCATTTGAAAACCTGTAATATTTCATGTAATGTTAATTTTGGAATGTAATGACAAATCGGAATCTACACTCATAATTTATACAGGGTGTCCCTGAAAGGTCTGTTCAAAATCTTAGCACATATTCTTATGCTTATCTGAAACAACTTACCTTAGTCCAAAATTTATAATAATAATAATAATAATAATGTTTATTTTCCTTTCATAGTCAAAACAAAAAAAGAAAAAGTAAGGTATACATTCAGAAGTTACAATTAACTATATAAGATCAAAATAAACATTGAGTAACACCACGGAAGTAGATGTGTGGTGTATGAGTGTGTTCTTATTTGGGTAAACATTTTTTTGAGAAATAAAAAAATCATTGTCAAGATATCCAACAGAAAACGACTACTTTCCTGGCTAATACCACAGAATATTGAATTATATCTGTGGAATAATGGAAATATCTAATAACAAAAAAATAATAATAAAATCTAAACATGTACAATAACTATTGATTGAATATCTAACAGAAAACAATTATTGCTTTCCTGGCTAGCATCACAATAATTATATTGAATTATATCTGTCAAATATTGGAAATACCTAATTTTAAAAAATATATATAAATAAATGAAAATAAGGAATTACAATAACTATTGTTTGAATATATAATGGAAAACAACTTTTCTACTTGAAATTGTGTGTTGTCCTGGTTGGGTTATTTTCATCATAGTGAGGGTTAGTCGTATCTAGATCAGTTAGGTATGAGTTGAAAAGCCTTATATATATTAGAATTAATATGTTACTATTTACATTGTAACAGCATATACATACTAAAATCAGTTAATTATGAAAACGCATTGGCAAAATGGAAATTTTCATTTCTTTTCTTATATTATGGTGATAATTTTTATACCATCATTGATACTGAACAAACAATATCATTTATTCGTTTCCTGGGTATATTTTTCAACCAATTTTTCAATTTCTTCTTCATGCTATTTGAGTGGAAAGAATTCATGTTTTTCAGTTCCGTTGGCAACATGTTGTAAATTCGGGGTATAAGGTAGGTGAAACATCTTTTGCCAATCGTTTTAATAGATTTTGGTTCTTCGACATTATTTTGTTTATGCCTTGTTGCATAATTCTGTTGTATACATTGAATTTGAGGTTGTTTCAGATTATATTTCAACATTGACAGACAAAACAATTGTCTGATATCTAAAATTTCACACTGTTTATACAAGAGGTCTGATGAATATGTTCTTGGTTTTCCATGAATAGTTTTAATAATCCATTTTTGAATCGTTTCTAATTTATTTAAATAATGGTCACGGACACCTCCCCATCCCAGTATACCATACGAAACAACTGACTGGACCAGCGCAAAGTAAATGATCCTGAGTTGTTCGATTTCTAGATATTTCTTCAATTCTCTGAACGAAGTCAATAGTCCTCTAATTTTTTTTGTTAGGTTTTTTATTTGTAAGTCCCAGCGGAGGTGCCTGTCAATGATGACGCCTAAATATTTCAATTGTTCAGTTTCAGGAATACTTAGATTTTTGTCAATTTTTAATGGCCCAAGCTCTGGTAGATTATTTTCATAAGAAGTGAACGGCATGTAGAAAGTTTTTCTGAAATTGACGGTTAGTAGATTATTGTCAAACCAGCACTCCACTTTACGGAATTCTATTTCAGCGATATTTTTAACCTCTGTCCAATTTTCTGCTTTAAACAAGATAGCGGTGTCATCTGCAAAGCTAATAATTTTTCCATGATTTAATTGTTGGGTAAGTAGATCATTGATATATATCAAGAAAAGTATTGGTCCTAGAACCGTTCCTTGTGGAACACCGTATTTGATAATTCCAGCTTCACAAAAAAAAAAAAAAAAAAAAAAAAAAATGGATACTTAAAATAATATTCAAGAAACCATACACCTACCCAAGCGACATGCTTTATGAAGAATCTGGGTTATTAGATATTCGTCAAATATTTCTTTTTACCATCATAATACACAAGAGGAAAAACTTGATTACCAGTCAGCATATCCAACATAATCATAATACTAGGTCCAAAGAGAACACATTAGTGGTACCTAATATGTCAAAAACTATTGGACAGAGGAGTTACATTTATTTAGCCCCTAAAACATATAATATAGTTCCACCCCAACTGAAATTATTGAATTCAATGAAACTTTTTAAAACCCAAGTGAAAAAATGGATAATGAGTATGCCTAGAAGTGAAACACAACGCATAATCGATCTTAAAAATAATTAAGTTTGTTGTTGATATTCTGATACCGTTTCATGGTTACCTGTTAGGTCTGATTTAGATTTAATGTAGTTTGTAGTAAGTTATTAAATAAAATATAGAAATTCGTCATATAATAATTACTGAATGAGTGTGACTGAGTGAATAAATTCTCATCAATATGTGATAGCTAAAGATCTTGCATAACAGTAACGACACACAAGAGTGATTGTAAATTTATTGTGAGCGATCCACGCGCGGGTTTTCCCTTGTGGACTTCTTGTTTATTTACATTTATTCTAAAGTGTTTTTTGATCATACTAGAATTCAATTAATGTAATTCACACTGTACTCATATGTATGTATATTTCGTTTATTTCGGTAAATAAACATTATTATTATTTATTATTATTACTTAGTACATCATCTATTTTGACAAATTGCTTTCTGTTTGACAAGTAACTATTGATAAGATTGAATATATTTCCTCGTAATCCATATAATTCGAATTTTTCTAGTAACCTTTTGTGGGAGACCGTGTCGAAGGCTTTTGCTAAGTCTACAAATATACACAATGAAGGAGATGACTGATCTAAAGCAGTGTAGAGATAGTTTACTAGTTGTGCTATTGCATCTTCGGTTGATTTATTTTGTTGAAACCCGAACTGATTCAAGGAAAGAATTTTATTTTTCAAAAAGAAATCACAGATACGTTGTCTTATTAGTTTTTCGAAAATTTTTCCAACATTACTGATAAGTGATATAGGTCTGTAGCTAATCATCTCAGCTTTATCTCCGCCTTTAAATAGCGGTTTGATAAGTCCAATTTTTAGACATTCAGGAAATTGGCCATTTTCAATCATTTTATTAAAAATCATCATCATTGGTTTGCTAATTTCATTGCCAATTGCTTTTAGTGTTTCCGACCGAATATGGTCAATGCCAGGAGACTTTTTATCCTTCAATGAATCGATGGTGTTTTTTATTTCATTTTGATTTGTTGGAAAAAGTTGCATAGTTCTAGTTACTCTATTTATATTGTGTTCGAATGTTCCATCCACTTTGATTTTTTTTGCGTACTTTTCGCCCAGCTCACTGAAATATTTTACAAAAGCATTGGCTATTTGTTTTTTGTCATCTGTTGTATCACCATTTTCTTTTTTTATTGAATTTATTGGAATTTCAATTTTGGTTTTATTACATACATAATTCACAGTTTTCCATAAATTCTGAGAAGAATTTCCATTTTTTTGAATTTCGCGTCTAAAAAATGTAGTTTTGGCTTTCATCAATAGTTTTGCTAACTTATTTTTATACTGTTTATATTGCGTTATCAAGGCTTCATCATTTGGATTAGTTCTCAATGTTTTATATAGTTCATTTTTCTTATTGATTGATTTCAGGAGGCCATCTGTTATCCACTGTTTCCTCTTTTTTTCTTTTTTTCTTATTCTGACGCAATTTGTATTTTTATTGACGAAGTTTTCTAATATACTCATAAATTCATTTGTCATATTGTTCAAATCTTTTCCTATAAATACATGTTCCCATTGTTCCCTACCTAAATCCCTCTTCAAATTTTTGTAATTGATGTATTTTTTAACATTTATTTTTTGGTTGGGCGTTTTTTGTTGTTTTTCTCCTATACTTGAGTGCAACATTATAGGATAATGGTCAGTAAGTTCACTCTCGAGTATAATTGGTGTTGTTGAGATGTTATCGCCTTTAACAAAATAATGATCCAGACAAGACTTTTGATCATTCTGTACTCTTGTATAGTTATTGATGCATGAGATATAACCGTTCATATAGAGTATATTCAAGTATTCTTGAGCATAATCTACATCTGACAAGATGTTTATATTCATATCTCCAACAAAAATGCTATAGTCAGATTTTTCAGAATTGTTACTCAAGTAATCTAGTAAACATCTATTGATCCATTTCCAAGAAACAGGGTGGCAATGTTGAAAAATTAAAATCGAATGTTTCAAAAAAGTTTGAATATTTTTGAACATATCACTTCAAAAATTGGTAGCCTGAAGTTTTTTGGGATGCGAAACCTGAAAACAGACACCTTTTGTCTGTGGCCATTAGATGGCGCTTACCAAGGTACTTCTTATGTTTTGAAATGGCCTACTTTTTTCCCAATGTAACTGTAACTAATTCTGACTGAAACTGTTAATTCTACACCACCCTGTATTTGTTTCAATTAAATACGAGTAAATAGTGAATCTAAAGTAAAGATATGGACATGTAAGCCGTTTTGACCAATAATGAATAGTTTCGACACAAAAAATTCCCAAAAATGAAAAATCTCGATATTCCACACCCTATATCTCGGAAATCATTCCCGCTAGACCCCAAGTGTGCTAGGTCGTTGAACTCAGCTCTCCAAGGAGAATATGAAAATGCAGTGGAATACAGGGTGTTCCATTTGAAAAAATTGATGTTCGATTTTGTGAGCCTTTCTTGCGCCCCTCGTATAGTATATAGTCATTCCTGAAGTTAGCACTCATAATGCGATATGATGTGAAATTATAATATTTTGAAAATTCCTATTGGTTCAGAAGATATTCAACTGTCCCACTGGTCTAGGGACACCCCGTATATGCTAAAAATCGAAAATTGTCCCGAAGTTTGACTATCAGCAAGAATAATATGGCAACATTGAATTAGAGATTTGGGGGATAGACTGTTCCATTTATGTTCCATTGCATGACTTCGCATGAAAATGTAAATAGCCCAGTCCATCTTTGTTTATACGTCATGTGTCGATTACTTTGCAATTACAAAATTGAAAATCCATTCAAATGATCTTTTCTGATATTTTTTCACTAAGCTGGGGAAAGTATGCCATGAGAATTGAAGGGTGGTTCCTATGGCAAAATGCCCGATCTTTCTGAATTTGAGATAAAATCGAGGAAAATGACAATTAAATCAACTTTCTTGACATTATAATGAAAAATACATTCATTGAATCTGGTTGTGGATTATTTTTATTAGTAATCCTTCTCAGTAAACAAAATTATGTTTCTTTTGCTAAATAAATTAAATTATAGAGTGAAAAATAATGTTACACTTATATTCAGTAGATAAATTAGCTTTATATTCAAGCCATCAAGTATATAGGTATTGAATTGAAATATTGTTATATAGAAGCTTTGCTGTACTACGCCGAGGATATCAAAATAAAGCCTTATTTTTCATTATCATCGTTATTATTATTCATCATTGGATTGAAAAAACCTTCTCTCTTGCAGAAATCCTCTTCCGTCACCACCTTCCAATCCACCGACCTCGATAGCCCGGCCAGCACTATCGCCTCCCTCACCAGGGACCTCGAGCACACCTTGGACCGCTTGCCCTCCACCAAATCCGAAGGCCGCACCGCTCCTCCTTCGAATCGCCCCGCCCCATATTCCGACCACCCCGCCTACTATTCCGATCGGCCCGCCCACTCTGCCGACCACTTATCAGACGACTATCCTCGCAGAGGCTCCGCCTTCTTGTCCGACTACTCGTTGGACATCGGGCAGTTGCGGCTGCTGGCCGGGCAGTTTGTGGTGAAGCCGCAAGAGGGGGAAAGTGGGAGTGGAGGGGAAGGTGAGGAGGGCGGGGAGGGTTTGGGCGTGTTGGCGCAGCTGGGCGAGGAGGAGAGTCCGAGAGGGTCGGCGACGCGGGGTAGCATGGGTCATTACAGCTTGGGTCCTCACAGGTGAGATGAGTTTGGTAGTGATCGTTTTTATGGTTTTGAACAGATTGGTTTTTCAAAGTCAAGATGTCAATGGCTGAATCACGAATTCGAGTGTCGACCTTAATCTACTAATTTTTCATTTCTAAACAACATACATAAATAGATAGATAAATTGATAGATAGATAGACTTATTCGACTATGTTACTCTTACATATTATGGTTTATTACAAGTCAGGGTTACAGATTCATGTAAAAAACAAACTGCACAGAATCTTATACGACTTGATGAAGTACAATGGTAGTCACAGGAAAAATACAAACATTTGATAGAAAAGAAAAATATATTTCCAAAAAGCTGAACAATATTTAGAAATTGGTGCTGGATTATATTCATCAACAGAATAAAATAAATGTCCGAAATGGATTTTCTTGATTTTTTCAACATCCTTCATTCATAGATCTAACATAATGAGGTATTTTATTATTATTTGGATTTAAAACTCCTTTTCTGATTTGACCAATCTGTATCCCGGCATAAATACATTATTGGAACTAGCAGATCCTGCATTGTCATGAAGGCTAGAAACTTTTTAGTGTTCTGCCTTTTGGAATGAATTTCAGTCAAATTTTCAATTATGTGAGTACGAGGAAGTGGTAAGTGTAAGCAAAAATGAAACTTTAGAAAGTTTGGTACTAAGCATATGTACATGGTGTTCAATCTAGACATTCATCTATAGCAATCTCAAGCAGTTTGAAGTGATTTCCCACTGTGATTAGGTTGCTTCCAAAAATTACTGCTTCAATGATTAAAGTTCAAGCTTGATGGAGAAGTGAACTATTTCTAGTTGAACTGATAACATATGTAACATCCGTAAAAAGAACAATTTGACATTTCGATACATTTCGACTGATTACTTTGCAACCAAGAATACATTCGTATCTCTTCAACGTGGATGGAAAAGAGAAGCCGCATTAAAAGTGGTCACGTGGTACTCATTCATTGTTGAAGACCTGGTAGTAGCACAGAACATAGATGTATATTATAATCAGCGGTCCTAGAACGTATCCTTGAGGGAATCCATGACGAATTTCTTTGAGTTTAAATTCTATGAGTTCAGTTTTGAATTTATTATTATTCGAGGATCAGTGTTTTCAGTTTCCGATGCTTTTGCGTGAGTAGATAGTCTATGTATGTTCTGGCCCAAGCCAATCAGAGACCAGCATTTGGTTGGAGGCCACGCCCACTAAAAACCGGCGCGAAATTCAAATTATTCATACGTCGTCACGTCGACATCGTGAATAAATAAATTAAAAAAAGCTGTCACTGCTGGGGGGAATTGAACTAGGGACCTTCGCATTACGAGGCAGCGTATATACGCACTGTGGTATTCCGACCTCCGTAATATTTCAATTATTTCAATGCTATTCAAACGGGATATCCATCGGTGGCGCGCGCTTATCTTTGAAACGGATCTGTAGAGGTGAAGTAAAGCGAGAGATGCGTTCCAGAGATAAGAAACTCCGCGCGAAAAATAATATCCATCGGTGGTGCGCGCTTATCTTTGAAACGGATCTGTAGAGGTGAAGTAAAGCGAGAGATGCGTTCCAGAGATAAGAAACTCCGCGCGGAAAATAATATCCATCGGTGGCGCGCGCTTATCTTTGCAACGGATCTGTAGAGGTGAAGCAAAGCGAGAGATGCGTTCTAGAGATAAGACACAAGTATTACATCGAAATAAATTTATAGTGAAATATTTCCATGTCGGTTTTATCGACAATATACACACAACACCAAATGAAGCTTCCGCTGATAAGAGTCGTGTGCAGCGATAACCGTCACATTGTTGTCAGACGTTGGAAATTATTATTTATGAAGTCGATAAGGTGTTGTCAGATTTTCAAAAAATATCTGATGTCACGTAATACATGACATATGACGTATGACAGATGATGTTTGCAATATGATGTATGTAGGGAGTGGAAGGATACGAAAACAACTATATATTATAATGAAGTATTTTATTTAAGTAATCCTTTTCTACAAAAATGACATGCCTCTTGAGAAGATGGCGGTCCATCCCAGTGTGTGGTCCAATCGGGACGATTATAATGAACGAAGCATGGTAGTTTGATTTGTAGGTTAAAGTTGCTGCGATATTCTTGAGGAAGTTTGTGCCACACCCTTAATAGCCCATAAGGATCTGCATATTCAATGAGACATTCTACTGGAATGTACTGCAATTCTTGTTCAGTGAATTTTGTCAGAGTTGAAGCGGGAGATTTTATAAACTCCAATAGCACAGCTATTTCAGACTTCATGATTTTTCGAGCAGAGCTAAAATATTTCAGATGCTACTAGTCTCGCGTCAAGTTGTATACTGATGAAATAAAAAAAACGAGTCACATTTTTTACAACATTTTATTCAAATCAGACATAACCTCATTTTTACAATAATAAAAATATTCTCTGAGAGCATTACTAGACATACAATCAGAAACATCACAAAATCCAGATATTAGCTCTTCCGCACCCAAATCAGTCAGGCTATTTCTAGTCCAATCAGCTATAGTATTCAAAATGTTCTGATAATACATGGAAAAGTCCAATTTGTTAATTAGCGCAACTCGATGTGAAACAACACACGTTTCAGCCCTCAAAATGTCTGCAACATCTTCTTCCACCAATTCGAATGTAATGTGGTATTTGGTGAGTGACAACATTTTGACACCATCGCAAACGAATTTAGTTATGGTGATATAGTCTCCGCAGGTGGTAACGGCAGGATCATATTCATCAACGAAACAGGGCAGGGGTGCTTCAAAAAAGTCTTGTTGTACCTTATACAGCGAATCGATGAAGGTGGCCCATTCATATGTGGAGAACGAAATTTTCGCTGGATGGAAGGGTTTCTTCAGGATGATGCTCGGACTAAACTGTCTAGCTGAACTAAGTCCGCACTGAATCATGTAGGTGGACAACTGGAACGATGAAGTCAGCAGGAGGTATGATTCAGCTTTCGCTGCTTGCTCAACCATCTCCAAATACGTATCAACGTCACCATAATAATCCATCATTGCCAATGAACTAGTACTACCGTTTTCGGAAAACACTTCACAAGACGAATAACCAGAGTCGATACTCATTGCTATCAAACTGATGTGTTGGATTGGGTCGGTCCTCACTATTTATACCACCACTGCCAACACGTCACAACATCCGATAATGGTTGTTATTTGTCAGCGATCGATGTGAAAGGCCCCTCACATCCATTGAATTTGTGCTAGTTTTCCATATGATTACATTATAACTTGTTGGTGGAATCAATCCAGCTGTTGTGTGTATCATCGAATCCCAGCCATTTGACAGACACCTTTTTACCCCTCTTCCTTAAAACTTTTTCCACTAGGTAAACATCGGAATTTTCAGTTTTTTGCAATTCTTCAGAATAAAAAGCACCTTTGATCGGAGCACCATGCAAATCTTCCAAGATGTATGTAGTAGGTTTCGTAATACGAACTTTTACGATTTTGAATAGTTCAGTAGTCCAATTTGGTGTATAATTCTTCTCGAAAACATGTTTGGCTTTGCTTATTCTCACAATGTCACCAACGTCGAATTTTCTGGTTCCAGCAATTTTGATGTGATTGTACGTGGATTTTAAAATATCTTGTTTGTTGGCTTTGGTGACGTCACTGGGCTTGCATCTAATCGTCGTATGTTTCGTGTTATTATAATTTTTCGTGATTTCAGGCAGGACATCTATCCAACGGTATGAGCCATTCAAACTAAAGTACTTGTATAGTTTTTCCTTCAATGTCCGTATAACACGTTCAGCAATGGCTGCCTTCATTATGGTGTACGTATGATAATGGTTGATCGAGAACTTTTTCATCAGACTTTGAAACTTTTCGTTGTAGAATTCGGTACCTTGATCGGTTTGCAAATTCTTGGGAATTCTGTTGTTGGCATGCGATAGAATATCAGCAAATGCACGAGCGATTTCAGCACCAGTTTTTGATTTTAGTGGTCTAGTCCATAGGTACTTGGAAAAACAATCAATCACGACCATTATCAGCTTGTGATCCTTATTAACAGAGGCATAAGGTCGCATTTCGGCTAGATCCATTTGCCATAAGTCATCCAAACCTTTGATGATAATGCGGCGCCTTGGAAATTTTTTCCTAGCAGGTCTATGTAATTCATTGACGAGTTGGATTTTTTCTTTAGAATGTGACATATTGACTTCGTTGGATTAGGAGTTTATATGATGGGTTTCACACAGGAGGCTTCCTTTTTGGTGGCGGTGGTGTTGTCGTAGATTTTGGAGTGATGGCAATCGTGGCCAAATCTTTTTTCATTTGATCAATGACATCAGCAAGCTGGCGTTCTTTATCACGGCTGTGTTGGTGCTCAGCCTTCAAATCGTGCAAACTCTTCACAGTGTTGTCAATCTTATCGACAAGTTCTAGAATATTTTTCACATTCAAGTCGATGTCGCTTTCGAGTTTTGGTAGAGAGTTGTTGCGAAGCTGCTCCACATGTATGTTGATCTTGTGTACTATGCCAGACAACTGAACAAAGTTTGTATTGTACGATGTTAGTTTAAGATCATGTACATCCACTCTCTTCCTTTCTTCGATTATCTCGTTGCTGAAGCCAGCAAGGTAATTTCGGATTTTTTCACCGTAATTATCGAAAGCAATCTTGAAATCTAACTTTATTTGCGATATAACTTCATCCACATATTGTTTGTTTGCAACATCAGCGGCATCTGTTGGCAGTTTTACGTTACACATCTTCAAATGACCAACATCGATATCACCGGTTGGAGTATGTGAAAATCCAGATCTGACTGTCACCATCTGAGCTGAGCGTGGAAACGAACCACGTCCGAATTTGTCGAGACTCATTATGCTAATGACTAAAGTATTGTACGTTATCGATAATGGTCGGCACTTTGCCTCACCAATTAGCCCCGCCACTCATAGACATGCCATGGAACTGTCACGGAAGTGTCAT